ATGTAAAGGGGCGGCAAAAAATGATTTATCAACACACTTTCAAACAGGATGAGGGGGGGGAGATGGGAATACAGGAAAATAAGTTTGTCATAAGAGTATGAACAGTTTTAAAAAATGAATAAATGAAAATTAAAAAAAATAATAATAACAATTATGATGAAAATTATCATTATTATACAAAAAAAAATATTACCTATCAATAATAATGATGAAAATAAAATAACAATGATAATAATAACATAAAAGTAATAATAATAATGACAACAATAACAATAATGATATTAACAATACTACTACTACTACTAGCAGTAACAGTAGTAGCAGTGGTAATAGTAGTAGTAGTAGTAGTAGTATCAATGATAAAGATGAATGAAAATTAATAATAATTGCCCACGTAAAACAGCACAAAAAGATAGGTTTTAATTTTGGTAATACACAAGTACATAAATAAATAAAAACGACTAATAATTAAATAAAAGTACCAACCTTCAGGAGTTTACAAATTAAGACCTCAGGTACAAACACAAATAAACAACATAAACACACAATTTACACCTGATGTTTACCTCTGACATTACGTAATTTTCTCGACTCTCCCCGTTTTTTGTTTTTTTTTTTTCTTTTTTTTACGTGTTCTCAATTTATTGATACATTATTAAGCGATCCCTTCAATCTTAAATATTGAGGGGTTAATCGTGGTACATCTGACAGTTATTTCTCTCTCTCTCTCTCTCTCTCTCTCTCTCTCTCTCTCTCTCTCTCTCTCTCTCTCTCTCTCTCTCTCTCTCTCTCTCTCTCTCTCTCTCTCTCTCTCTCTCTCTCTCTCTCTCTCTCTCTCTCTCTCTCTCTCTCTCTCTCTCTCTCTCTCTCTCTCTCTCTCTCTCTCTCTCTCTCTCTCTCTCTCTCTCTCTCTCTCTCTCTCTCTCTCTCTCTCTCTCTCTCTCTCTCTCTCGCTCTCTTCTTCACCGGAAAATTTTAACCGATTTATATAAAATATATTGAATGTATCACTTCAATTTCAAAAGAAAGGAAGAGAAGTCTATCTATTACTCTGTCTATCTACCTACTTACCTTCCTATCTATCTATCTATTCATATATCTACCTGCCCAACCACCAACCCATCTATCCACCCACCCACCCACCATCTACCTACTACTTAACCTCCTTTCTATCCATCTATCTATCTATCTATCTATCTATCTATCTATCTATCCATTTTACTTATCTGTCTATCTATTTTTTTAGGCCCTATGCATCCCACTGGATGCCGCAGGATTTGACTGATCGACTGATTGACTATCTATCTATTCATCTATTTACCTGCCCAACCACCCACCCACCCACCCACCCACCCACCCACCCATCTACCTACCACTATCCACCCACCTCCCCTACGTCTCAATCTCCTTTCTTCGCACTACATACCCCCCACACCCCCATTCCACACCCCGCCCCGCCCCCCCTCCACACGGCAGGAAGACGGGGTCCCTCCACACATTATCCCCAAACCCGAATTTACCGAAGTGCTGAGAACCAAACGCCTTGGAATTACGGTGGCGATGAGACGATGATGGTGATGATAACGGCGGCCAAAGAGAGATTGATAACGAAGGTAAAAAAAAGGAAGATTGATAGGGGAGGTGATGAAAAAAGAGAGAAATTGGTAATGGAGGTAAGGGAGAGGAATCTTATAACGGGAAAAAATTATAACGAAAGTAGATAGAAGAGATGATAACGAGTGTAAGAATAATCATCACGTATATAAATAAATATAATGGATAGCGAAAATGAGAAAGGGGAAGCTAACGACGAAGATAAAAAGGCAGGAACTGTTAAAGATCAAAAAAAGGAGAATGGCGACAATGATGTTTCAGGAATAATAAATAGAAAAATAATGAACAAAGGAGACCCTGCTCCTCACTTCAGGGCAATAAGGGGCGCGGTGATTGGCAAGGAAACAGGTATGTCCCGCCGTCCAATCGCTCCCCAAACTGGTGCGGATTGGACAACGGTAACACTCACCCCCCACCCCCCACCCCTCACCCTCAATCACCACTCACTCCCACGTACGAGTGAAAATAACCTCAGAGCTGTTTTATAGTCATTTGGATTCATTGAGGGGTTAAACGTGGTACATTTGACCGTTATTCATCTCTCTCTCTCTCTCTCTCTCTCTCTCTCTCTCTCTCTCTCTCTCTCTTTCTCTCTCTCTCTCTCTCTCTCTCTCTCTCTCCTTCTTCCTCCTCTCCCTCTTCTCCCTCTCTCCCTCTACGCCTCAGTCCTCAATCCTTCCATCCCCACCTT